TTATTTCTTATTAGGTTTTCTTAGCCTTTTAAGTCTTTGATCTTCATTTCCTGTTAGAATATCTTTGCTTCTTAATTTACTGACAGAAAACTTTACAGAGAGTAGAATTATCAGCACAGTGATTCAATAATAAACAGGGAGTGATGTTGACATATGTCCTTTCATGGAAACCAACAATAACTGGGAATCTAGATGTTGCTCTCTTTGGTAATCTACAGATTATGTCGGTTTTAAAAATGTGCATCGTAAGAAGAACATCAAAGTATTTTCTCTTCCTGCTGACAATCCATCACTTCTTGCTGACTCATGTCTTGGTAGCATGAAAATGACAAATCAGTTATCACATGTATCCTTCAGAATACAGGTGCTGGTCATAAAATTAGAATATTGTGATAAAGTTCATTATTTTCCATAATGTCATGATAAAAATTAGATTCATTGCACACCAACTGAAATATTTCAGGTCTTTTATTGTTTTAATTTTGATGATTTTGGCTAACAGCTCATGAAAACCCAAAATCCCTGTCTCAAAAAATTAGAATATTATGAAAAGGTTCTCTGAACGAGCAATAAAATAAAAATAATCATCTGAATCAACAAAGTAACTCTAAACACCTGAAAAAGATTCCTGAGGCCTTTAAAAACTCCCAGCCTGGTTCATTACTCAAAACCGCAATCATGGGTCAGACTGCTGACCTGACTGCTGTCCAGAAGGTCATCATTGATGCCCTCAAGCAAGAGGGTGAGAAACAGAAAGAAATTTCTGAACGAATCGGCTGTTTGCAGAGTGTTATATCAAGGCACTTCAGTGGGAAGTAAGTAGGAAGGAAAAAGTGTGGCAGAAAACGCTGCACAACGAGAAGAGGTGACTGAGGAAGATTGTGGAGAAGGGCCGATTCCAGACCAAATTAAATTTTCATTGTAATTAAACGTTTTTTTCAAGTCCTTCATTTTTTAAAGCATTTTTTTTTACAGTTTTGGGGAAGCAATTAGGAACTCTTCTACACACAATGCTGTGTCCCTAAGAAGCGAGAAATCAATGGATTTCCCTCTCAATTATAAAGATTCCTCATCTTCAGGGTGAGTAAACTCTGCTTTTAATCTCCAAATTTGATCAAATCTATTATACAGCTTAAGGTAAAGTGTAGGATTAGCATTGCATTAAGCTTGGGTATGAGTTTTTAAGTTGTAATCAGTCAATATTCTTAACATATTAATTGTTTTAAAATGTTCATTATAAGCAGAAGTTCAAGATGTCAGCTCTTCTTGTCGGTAGTTTATTGCATGATTCATGCTTTATTCAACTTGAGTCAGACATCTTTGTTCAACTGCCTTTTTTTTTTTTGCCAATGCTACTTTTTTGAACAGTTTTGGGCAGAAAAAGAGAAACTCTCTTGGACCAACCAGTTTGTCCCTAAAGAGCGATAAATCGATGGATTTTCCCCTTAATTATAAAGATTCTTCAGATTCAAGGTAAATCAGCTCTGCTTTAAAAACCTCAGTAGGTATTTATTAAGAAAATATATTTTTCATATAGTTGTCAAAACGCTCATTATGTTCTAACAGTAGGATATGAGACAGCTGGTTTGAAAAACAGAAAATTTCTACAGATGTAGTCAGCTTTATTTATTTTTTTAATCAAACATTGTAGCTGCACAAGTCCAACAGAATGATGGCCACAAATCATTCTTGATCTTTAATGTGTTTATTTATTAATCATAGGCACTCAGCAACACACAGAAAATTAATGACTCTCAGACAATTGCAGACATTTTTGTGGAAGTGCTTCATTTGCTAATACCACTTTTTTTTAACAGATTTTGGCAGAAAATGAGAAACTCTTCTACACCGAGCGTTTTGACCCTAAAGAGCGAGAAATCGATGGATTTCCCTCTCAATTATAGACATTCTTCATTTTCAGGGTGAGTAAGCTCAGCTTTGGATCTCTGGATTTTATCAGACATGCCATGCAGTCTAAGATCAACGGATAAATTAATTGCAATACATTTAATTTATGAGTTGAAGTTTCTACCAATGTTATTAGTAATACATTTTGCAGTAAAATGTTTGCAGTTAGGAATCCATAAGCAGGATTTTAATAATTTAATAGAAATGTAAAAAGTTGAAGTCATTTTTCCAATTCTTCCCTTTTTGTTGTACAACAGGGATTACAGCAATGTTTGGTTTATCCAACAATTAATGCCTATGATTAATATATATATTTTTTAAACAATATCAATAGAGTTAAAGTTTCTTTTAATTGAAAAAAGTTGGAGCACCGCCTGATAGTCAGGATAATTCTTAACCAAACACATCCAGTCTTACAAATTTCCCACTGCTGGGATTTTGACACACCTTACAATGTGTTAGGTGTGCCAAAGGTGGTGGGAAATGACTTTGTCCCATTCTGGAAAATTTACCTTCAGCAACCAAACAAGCGATGGCTTGCCACAAAATCCAGTTGAAATGATGTTCAGGAACTGGTCCAAGAAATAAAAAAAATAATGAAAGGTTGTGATCTGACTGGGAAGGTTGGTGCATTGAGCTGGTTGTGGGTCCAAAAAGTGCCAGTGGGTTTGTTTGCTGGATTGCAAACTGAGGTAAACATCGCTGGCAAACTACTGCAACGTGGAGAGCAGAAGTAGTTTGAGTCGGACTTCTGAGGTAACTGGATTGGACAAGAGGGATTTCTACTTAGCTGGATTACTGGTTGTGCTACAGCTTATCTTAACACGTTTCAATTGCAATTAGAAAGTAAAATGGCCTTTTTCCCAGCAGGTTAAAAGAAAAAATACATGTGAACTTGTGCTTCCCTCTGTTGTGTCTTGCTGTATTGACTCTGAATGTTGTGAAGATAATTCCAGTTACTTGCATCCATCTATTTAATTTATGAATAACTCAAGTTGTTCACAAATAAATAGGAAAACCAAAACAAAACACCAACCTGGAATCCTGAAAAATGTATTTAGTTGTGTTTATCCTAAAGCAAATAAAATATTTGTGAATAATGACTATCCACAGATTTGACCAGGAAATACCAAATGAGACCAACAGTTTCCATACAGACCTTCACTCAGTTTTTGAGGTTAGTAAACTAAAAAAAATATATATATATTTTTTTTAATGTGTGAAAATATTTTTCTCCATGAAAATAATATATTTATGTCAACTTTGACTTAATTATGGATGTCAATTAAGCTTTTCCCTTTTTTTTTTGTTTTTTACATTTTACTACAGTATAGTGCACAATAAGCCGTTAGTCACAGAATCAAGAGCAAAAAATCAGACAAACAGTTAAGTTATGTGGATGAAATAAACACCATGAGGGCATTCATGGCTGGTACCAAAATCTAAAAATAATGTATACAATTATGTATTTACACAAAGAGACGGTTTATAGATTGTTGTCTATTAATTTGGTTAAAAAAGCCAAAAACCAAAAATGTCTTCTCCTAAATAATGGATATGTAAGAAGGTATTCTCTAAAAAGTTTGTATCAGTGAGTAAAACAATCTAAACATAACTTTTTCATTTACAGAAACTTGAGAGGGAAACTGTCATTTTTATCAGATCGAAGCTGAAGAAGTTCCATCGGCTGTTAACTTCTAATTACCCAAAACACCTTGGGAAACGTAATGTGACTAAAAATGTGCTGCAATGTGAGGAAGGAAAGAAGATCTTTGGTGGAGAAGATGAGTTCATGAACTTTCTTCGGGAATTTCTGAGGATGATGAAGCTTGGAGAACTCGCTGATACTCTGTCTTCCAGTAGGATATTATTCTTCCTTTGAGTGTGTAACAGATTGTTTTCACACATTGATAGGACATTTTGGAATGACTTTGTGTAGTTTATATTATTAATAGCTCTAATGTGAATTAGAATCGCCACAAATTTGGCAATACTTTGAGTTTTACATGTAGCTTATTGCTGATGTTTTCCACCACACGTGCAAACATTTAGCGTGTGTGAAGAGTTTATGCAAATATAATTATTAACCACTGGATGCTGTTATTACATCTACACTTTGCACTTTTGAAAAGCAGGAGGCAAACTGGAACATAAAATATTTGTGGTCATTGTGGTAAACAGGAAGCATAGGTATACTGAGAGAAGACGTTGCTTGCCATATATGTGCAACTTCTGAAAAAAGATATAAATTTAAAATAATGAAAAATAGATAAGTAATGTCCTCCAACAATGAGAATTTTGAGCTGCAGGATTAACTAATAATTACAGTTAATCATCACTTTATGGCAGCTGCTCTGCAGGAACAAGTTTTTATTTTGCCAAGAAAAGGTGGTAAAATACTCAAAGATGTGTGCAGACATTTTGAGTAGTTTAATATCTTCTTTTTCAATGAAAAGATATACAAAACATATAACATCAAGATTATGCAGACTTTTCTGACATTATTGCAGTCCTGGTTTAATCCTACATATTTTCTTTCTTTTGTAAAGATCACTCAACCATGAATCCATCTAAGGATAAAAATCTGTCACAAGTATTCAAACTCTCTGAAGATGATGACCAACAGTTCAAAGATGAAAGGTAAAACTGCTGAGTTACAATATGTGGTACCACACATTAACCTCAAATGCTTTCAAAAATAATGTTTATCACAATAATTTAATTTTAGATACTACATAAGATTTAGCATATGTTTGAACTTTTACCATAACTGTCATTATTTCTTAAATTCCTCAGGTGTAAAACTAAAAACATTTTGTTTGCAGACAATAAAATTAATTTCTAATAGTGTAACAATTTTCCTCTACCACAACCAATTAATGTTGGTTGTGGCACAACCAACTATGTATATGTATATTCCCACAAACTGTAATACTTTGTTTTCTTGTTTTCTAATTTTTTGCTTTTTTAGAGAGCATGGTGTCTAAATGCTCTATATCTTTTTTTAGAAAAGGTTTGAAAAAAGACTTGCTTGCAGAAGTATTTTTACATTTTTACATTGCTATGATAAGCATCTCAAAAGCTCCAATGACACCTAAACTACAAACACAAATCCAAGAGGAGTTTAGGCTTGAAAAGTGCAGCAGAGAGCTAAGATACTTGGATGATATGAGTTACATATCATATTTCAGTTTAAATGGATGGGTGTGCATTGCTATGTCTTAATAGATGTGTCTAATATACCCACCAACAAATCTCTGTGAAATGTTTGAAGCTTGTTTCCAGCTTCGCTTTTGATAGTTTTTGACAATAGAAAGTTAATTGGATCCTAATTCAATGACCAAAGTCTGCTCTATTAGTGTTTTGATGTGTGATTTTAATTAGACAAATTGATGCTTATCTGGAAATGACTATGGTTTGTTTTAATCTTTTTTTTAGAAATAGATTAAAACCTCTTCACAGAACGTCCCAGAAGGCAAACATGGAAGCAACATTTAAGGTCAGTAATATTATAAGAGAAAAAGTAACAGATGAGGTTGTTAGGTGATTATTAAAAATGCCTCCTTTCAGTTTCCTTTATCTATCACAGTAAAATATCTCAAATCATTTAGCAATTTTTACATGGAACAAAGATAACCTGAGTAAATGTGAACAGCAAATAGAAATTATAATTTTATTTGGTGACAGCTGCTGTTTAGTGTTTTTTGTTACTGTCACTTTATGTCACTTTAGAGGAAAAGATTTTTCTGATTTTAACCAAACTGAAAAGTTTTCAAGCATGAAGAGTCTGTGTGTTGAACTACCAGGTCCTCTCAGTCAGATTTATGTCCAGACTTTGACTAGACCATTCCAAACCTTCATTTTTTTTGTGCTTGAGTTGTTGAGTGCTGAATAAACTGATGTGCTTTGTATCATTGTGCTGCTGTACAGTGAACCACTGGACTAAAGACTTTAACCAGTCATAAGCAGCTGAAATTTTGAGACTCCTTGAAATCTACGAATACTGTATTTAAACATGCTTACAGCTGTCTATTTTAATAATTTAAACATCAAATATGTATTAATATAGATCCTCAGACAGGTCCTGTTCCAGTGATTTCTTGATTCTCATGGTCTGTGGCTAATCTGACATTTTGCATTTGCTCAGGTCTTAAAATGTGTTTGATGATATGAAATATTTTGAGAAGGAAAAACAGATAGTCTTTTTCTGAATGCTTTGCACTACATATTTATTTTGTGGTTTGTGACCATAAATTACAGTTAATGTGACAATTCAGATTGCTTTAACATGAAAATATGTTTATTTTCATAAAATTTGTCAGAACCAAAATGTGTTTTTCCTTTTGCCCTTCTACAAATTCAAATTGCAAACTTTTTGTTACAGACTCTTGAGGGAAACATTGTTACCTTTGTTGACAACGAGCTAAAGAGTTTTTATAAGCTCTTATACTCAGATCACCTTCATAGCCAAGATGAGGATGAAGAAGTTGTTAACTGTGACGAGGAAGAGCAGATGAGGATTACCAAAGAAGCTTTTCTGAACATGACCTTGGAGTTTTTAAGGAGAATGAAGCAAGAAGAGTTGGCCTTTGCTCTACATAACAGTAAGAACTTAAATATAGCAAAATACTGAAGATTACAACATAGAAGGAAATTGTTCATACCATTTTTCTCTCTGGATGTTTAGATCAAGTTGTGTTGTCCGAAACTCAAAAAATAAGGGATTGAAATAAATTCAGATAACCCTTTGTGGATAATGTTTACCTTATTGAAGTGAAATTCTGAGAAACTTCTTAGAATTTCAGAAATTCTAAGATGTTTTCTGAAATGTTTTTACTAGCAGTTATTCTCATTAAGTTTCTTTATTCTTTGTGAATCAGAGTCCAGTAGAAATTCCTATGGCTTCTATGTGTTCATCAGGGAGAGAGGAAGACCTTCTCTTGCATTTTAAATGAGGTGAAATGTATATACCAATGAACTGTAATACTTTTTCTCATTTTTAACTTTTTTAGAGAGCATGGTGTGTAAATGCCAAGGTAAACTCAAATCCAACCTGAAGACGAGGTTCACATATGTGCTTGAAGGAATTGCCAAAGAAGGTCATCCAACCCTTCTTAATAAGATCTACACTGACCTTTACATAACTGAAGGACGTGAAGAGGCCATTAGTGATCATGAAGTGAAACAGATTGAAAAAACTCTCAGAAAAACAATGGACCCACTAACAATCAGACGTGAAGATATTTTTAAACCCATTACTGGAAGAGATAAACCAGTCAGAACAGTGATGACAGAAGGAGTGGCTGGCATTGGGAAAACAGTCTTGACACAGAAGTTTGCTCTGGACTGGGCTGAAGGAAAAAACAACCAGGACATCCAGTTCACATTTCCATTTTCCTTCAGAGGACTGAACTTGGTGAAGGAGAAAAAGTTCAGTTTGGTTGAACTCATTCATCTCTTTTTCCCTGAAATCAAAGAAGCGGGAATCTGCCGTTTTGATCACTTCAGAGTTTTGTTCATCTTTGATGGTCTGGATGAGTGTCGATTTGCTCTGGACCTGAAAACCAAAGAGGTTCTGACCGATGTTACACAGTCTGCATCATTAGAGATACTGCTGGCAAACCTTATCAAGGGGAGGTTACTTCCTTCAGCTCGAGTCTGGATCACAACTCGACCTGCAGCGGCCCATCTGATCCCTCCTGAGTTTGTTGACCTGATGACTGAAGTCAGAGGATTCAATGACCCTCAGAAGGAGGAGTACTTCAGAAAGAGATTCACAGAGGAAGAGGAAAGCAAAATGGTCCTGTCTCACATCAAATCCTCAAGAAGTCTCTACATCATGTGTCACATCCCTGTTTTCTGCTGGATCATTGCTACTGTTCTGGAGGATGCCATTAACGCCAGAGAACAAGCAGACCTACCCAAATCCCTGACAGAGATGTATGTCCTCTACTTGGTGGTTCTGTCCAAGGTGAAGAATGTCAAGTATGATGAAAAAGCTGACAAAAATGCCTTCTGGACTCCAGAGACCAGGAAGATGATTAAATCCTTGGGAAAACTGGCCTTTGATCAGTTAATGAAAGGAAACCTGGTTTTCTATGAATCTGACCTGACTGAGTGTGGCATTGACGTCAGAGCAGCCTCAGTGTATTCAGGGGTGTTCACAGAAATCTTTCAGGAGGAGAGAGGGTTTTTCCGTCAGAACATGTTCTGCTTTGTCCACTTGAGCATTCAGGAGTTTTTGGCTGCTCTTCATGTCCATCTGACCTTCTTCAGCACTGGTGTCAATCTGCTGGCAGAAAAGAAATCAGTCTCGCCTCGGTCAAAGATAACTGATGAACAATTTGAGCACTTCTACAAGGAAGCTGTCGAGAAAGCTATAGATGCTTCAGGTGGCAAACTGGATCTGGTTCTGAGATTCCTTCTTGGTCTTTTTCTGGAAACCAATCAGAGGCTCCTCCAAGGGTTTGTGACAGAAAGAAAAACATCAAGCAGTTCCTTGAAAAACATAGTTGAGTACATCATAAAGAAGATTGAAGAGATTCTGTGTCCCTTTGATAAAGCCAATTTATTTCACTGTCTAAATGAACTGAAGGAACTTTCTTCAATGACAGAGATTGAACAAATCTTGAAATCAGGAAAACTGGAGACAGAAAATTTGTCAAAAGCTCAGTGGGCAACACTGATCCACATTCTGCTGTCTTCAGAGGATTATGAGAAATATTTTGATCTGAGAAAGTATTATATTTCAAAGCAAGCTCAAAAGAGTTTTACACCACTCTTAGTAACCTCACCTAAAGCTGTGTAAGTAAAAAAACAACCACACATTGCTTGTACTGAAATAAATTAGATGAACATTTTGTTTAGTTATTAACTTCATGTTTGTATTTAGACTCAGTTGCAGTTTCCTGGACGAGACAAGGTATCCGCATTTCGGATGGATTATCAGCTATGAGCGCAATATATTGAAATATTTGGACCTGAGTAACAACGACATGAAAGATTCAGGACTGAAGATGCTGTGTGAAGGCATTTCCAAACCAGCGTGTAAACTTGAAACTTTGAGGTAAGTCCTTATCCGTTAGTTAAATAAATACCCTTTAAAATGTTAACAGTGTCATTTTTGGTCCTTGTCCATCTCTATCCACCTCCACAATGTTACCACATTCATTCAACAGTGCAGCTTTTCAACTGACAACTTCAGATTAAGTAGATATTTTTCATCAATGTTTTTTTCATGCACATTTTATAGTATTACATTAGAAATGGTTAATGGAAATGACAACATTTGAAATAACATTCAGTTTCGTAACAAATGTTTTTAATAATATTGAGATAGTTTTGGGCTTTCTCACTAAATAGTTAATTCACTATATGAAACACATTTGCTGAATAAATTCTGACTCTTCATTTTTCTGAGATGTGCGATGCATGCTTTTGCAACTGCTACATATTTTTTACAGCATGCTAAGATTAACATCTGATGTTTGCCCTTTTCGTTTTCTTTTTTTGAGACGTTTTAAATGTTTGCTCAACATTTGCATCACAAGTGTCTTGTCCAATGGTTCTCCAACACATTGAGGAAAGGGAACCAGCAACCCTCTGAGGGTCAGACTGTACTCTTCACACATTGTTTATGATTTTAATGTTTTGATATTATGTGTACATTAAAGCCACCTTATATCCCTTTTTTATATGTAAGCTGTAAAATATATAATTGAGGAATGGAAGAACGCATGTAGAACACAATGATGACTGAATCATAAAACCTGAAAGTGCGACAAGAAGTAATACCATGAATTGTAAATATTTGTGTTTTTGTAGGCTGTCAGGCTGTTTAATCACAAAGGAAGGTTGTGAAGCTCTGGCATCAGCTCTGGATTCCAACCCCTCTCACCTCAAAGAGTTGGACCTGAGTTACAATTACCCAGAAGAACATGGAGTGGCGCTCCTCTCTGCTGGAGTGGAAAACCCAGACTTGGCCTTAACGACTCTCAGGTACTGATAAGGATGTGAATTAGACAATGTCTACTTGTTATTAGGTCTATGATCTTTTCAATCAAACTAAATAGTTAAAATAGAATAAATGTCAGAATGTGAGAATAAATTCATCTTTCTTATCAGTGCCATACTAAACCAAATAGTGTAATCACAATTCCTCGATCACTGCTAACTTTGCTGTTATGTTGTTCCAGGGTGGAGCCGAGTGGATTACAGTTTTTAATACCCGGTCTGAGGAAGTGTAAGTATGGTCATTTTTAAGAAATAAATGGCATAAAAAAATAATATTAATGTCAAATCTGATATTCCTGTAAAAAACAGCTTGTATGTTAGCTTATGTAGGGTCATGAAATAAAAAATACTTGTCTGAATGAGAAGAAGTAGCATATTTATTTAACTGTTACAACATAAGAACAAAAATACAGAGTCAAGTGAGTTTATGAAGTCTCCACCAGCTGAAAATAGATTCTTTCTGTCTTGTTTTTACATTGTTCCGGTCAGTAGATCTTGTGACAGCAGGTTGTCACTGCTTGTAATTGTTTCCCAACAAATGGAGAGAGAGGTTTGATTGAACTATAGTGGGACTGAATTTGTCCCTCAGTTGTTGAGTTACTGGTCTGATTCCCTCTGCCTCTGTCATTGCATCCTTGGGCAAGACACTTCACCCGCCTTGAGTCCTTGTTGTGGTCAGCGGGCCCAGCAGCACCAGTGCATGGAAATCTCACCACTGTCAGTGTGTGCACCATGACTTCAATCCAGCAGCTTATCACCATCATTATGTGAAGTTTGGATGAATGGCTGAACGTAAACACTTTGGGATCATCTGGACTTAAAGTGCTGTACAAGTACAAGCCATTTATCACAGGGGTGAAGTTTTGGATTGTTATGCATCAGGAATTTTGTGGAGCTCAGCATAAATATTTTTGCTATTTTCCTTTTTGTAAGAAACCGTGGCTGTTTGATGTTAAAGAAGACAGCTTTAATCCTGATACGTTCTTATTTTGAAAGTAACGCAAAGATGGGCTTGAGCATCAAGGAACAAACATATTGTTATAGTATTTATTGTATCTCATAAGATGTAGTGTAATTTTCATAAGGCACATTGAATGCAAATGGGCATGTCGTCAGACTGAGGGAGGTAGCTGGGAAAAGAACCAGTCCAAAGATCTTTACTAAAGACAAAGTGAGTTTGAGGAAAATATCTCTAATTCTGTTTAACAGACAAGTTCATGCTGATGTGCATCAAAATTCACTCAATGGTTATTGAATGGAGTTTGAATAATTCCTTTACCATAAGTAACCCTACATGTAGCTCTCATTTTGAGTGAAAAGGAACAGTTATTTTGAACTTTTTGTCTATTTTTGTTACTCTTTTACTTTTTAAAATAGAATGCTAAGCTTAATGTAATTACTTATCAGAGGGTAGGGCTCAGACACCAGGAGCACATATTTGAAATTGGCATTAATAATGACTGTGGAGGCACATTTCAAATTCAGTGGGGGAGACTTTATGTATGCTTCTGGCACAGAACATGTGACAGTGGACATGGGTTATCTGTAGAACCCATTTTTAATACAGCTCATAAAAATAAATGAATAAAAACAACATTACCAATGTTTTGTAAAATTTGTTTTAGAACAGAAGTTAACATCAATGCACACAATCCAGATAATTGTTCACGTAATGAAATGCTGCTGTCTCTCCATCAGATATCATTGAACTCATCCTGGACTCCACCACACACAGAAACCTCACACTATCTGAGTTTAACAGAATAATGACGGTGGGACAAGGAGAGAAGCTCTCATGGTTTGATGCTGAGGAGGAGCTGCTGGGCAGACATGGACTCACTGGTCGCTGTTACTGGGAGGCAGAGTGGAGAGGAAAAGCTTCCATTGGAGTGACGTACAAAACAATCAGAAGGAGAGGGGAAAGGAATGGCTGTGGTCTTGGAGTCAATGATCAGTCATGGGCTTTGTTGTGCTCTAAGGAAGGATTCTCTGTTCTGCACAACAACAAAACAACTAAAATCTATGTAGACCCTTCAAACAAAGTCGGGGTGTATGTGGATGTGCCTAGTGGCACTGTGTCTTTCTTTGGGGTTTACCCTGATGAAATGACCTTCCTTCACAGCTTCAGCACCAAATTCACTGAACCTGTGTATCCTGCTTTCAGAATAGAACCTGACCCCGTTAAAATTAGAATGGCCACTATGCTGTAACTACTAGAACGGCCAGAAGCTGTGCTGACTACGATATTTACCCCTTAAATAAATCACAACAAAAAGAATATGTAATATAATCTTACTTATGATCTTGCTTTCTTTTGTCAAGTTGTTTCAGAAATCTTATGATAAATCAGCAATAATCTTTGCCTCCTTTATCACATAAATAAAATCTAAACATTAGTGTTTTTATATCTAGTAATAATCCAAAAGTATGAAATAAAATGACAGAACACACAAATTGGATGTCAACAGTAAAACAAGCTACCAAAGCGCATATATATATATATATATAATTCTAAGTATTTACACTACTTACAATAAGGCTAACAAAATTATTTACAACTTGCAGCCAACACATGACCTCTCTTCACCCAACACGACTGTCACATATAGTTTTGCAGCATCTGGAGTAGGTGTCAGATTTTATATCCATGTCATGGGTGAACTGCTGTACATCCTGGGCATCTCAGTTATTCAAGACCAAGCAGAAACATCCTGTTGCAACCCCTGCTGACCTAAGTGTCAAGCTTGAAACAGGATGATGAGAGAGTAATCCTGTAAATCCAAATACTTACCAGTCCATAGTAGAAAGTCTGCCGATGACAAGAAAACAGCTTGTGTTTATTTATTTTTTTTAATTGATTTAATAATGCGAGTCCATTTGAAAATGTTGTATGAGTTTTTGGGTAGGAATTCATAAGTTTCTTACGTCTTCCTACTCCCTTCCAAGCATGTTAAGATTATTGTAGTACAAAAATATGTATCTTGTGCATTCCTTGTAAATGTGTGTCATTTTATACTTCTATCATGTTTGAAATAAATATTTTCCTAGTTAGCTTTGCTCACACAAAAATAAGTTATGAAAAGTAACATAAAAAATTATTTTGGTATGCTGTTTTAGGTGTTGAAGTTTCACCAACCGCTCTGTAAAATCAATACCACAGCAGAGCCAAACTCTTTAGACAGAAAATAACCTTACAATAACAAAGCTTGTGCATAAAACACTTTAGGTCTGTACCTTCCTCACAAAACAAAATAAATGTCATGGGATATTAGATCTTATGAGCAAATCTGATGCCTGAAGTCCCAGAAATGGAAAATACATCAGCAAAAGCTCTTAGGATGAGTTTATGGCATGATAAGTTGAAAATGGAGGGAGAGAGTATTAAAAAAGTGAGCATTTTAGATGAGACAATTAGTTGTTAAAAATATTATTTTATTTTAAAAGCATACTGTTGGGAAGTTAAACTTGAGTACACAGTATGCTTATAGGCTTGCCTTTGTTCTGAAAAGAAAACTGATGAGGGGATTTTATGGTAAAAACAGGTTAGATTGCTTCATGGTTGCCAACTATGTTGCTTTAACAACTGTTGACTCACCTTCATGTTTTTTGAACTGTGAGAAATTCCTTGTCTGATGAATGAGGAAATGTTTTGAAAACAAAAAACAAAGTCTCCATTGTTTTTTTTCACATTCGTCTAACCGAGACGTTCTACGTTTCACTCAGAAAATCTTCATGTGTTCCTTGGATTATATGGACAGGACAGATACTTTCTGCGTTTTGAGAAACTGAGAAGGTGTTTTCTAGATAGAAATGTGAAGAACTACCAACTCACCTTTCACCATGGCACACGGAGCTGCTCTACCCGTTTAAAGGAACCTGTTTCAACCAGTAAGCAAGGTGTTCGCTGTGACAGGCTTTCACTTACACTCTTGGTTGGTCTGAGGTGATTCTCATGGAAAAAGGCAAAGTAAGTACTTAGTTTATTTTATTTTCTGGTTTTTAAATTACCTATGAAATAAGCTTAAGGGTTTCCAAACTCCCAACATACAACAAGAACTATAATCGCTGCGTCATGACTGATTGTGATTGATTTCGTAAACCTGAATACAGCTTTCAGTTTTACTGCGCAAGAGACTGACTTCTAAATTATGATAAAACAATGGCACTGTTAGGCTATGCCAAATTTGATAAAGACTGACAAACTCAAAAAATATCAGGTATGTTTATGACAGAACATGGCTGACTGTATGATTAACAAGTACAGCAACAACATGGGGACAATGATTTGCCAACTTTCAGTTAGTGAGTTGATTAACGTGATTTAAAACGGCCTTAGTAGGTGGCAGCAAAACAATCTAAATGTTTGAGCCCGTCTTCTGTCTGCAGTTCAGCCGGTAGCCTGAACTTCTTCTGACTAATCGTGAGCTCATTAATGTCTCACTCTGTCTTTTTCTCTGTACTGAAACCACCATGCTACCCTAGATAATACCTTGAATAAATATATTTGATCTGACTCATTATTAAATGTAGCCATCTAGGTTCAACAGCCTTGTATAGCTGTGTAAAATGCTGCAGAAATATATGATGCTATCATCGATCTTCTGAATATAAAATAGTCTGACTTAAAAAAAAGATTCATTTATACTGGTCATACAATGTTTTAATAGAGATGAATTTTGGATTTGATTTAATGTCATTTTAAATAAATGAAAATAGAGGTGGAAATAACCAATGATTCATGTAGAAATGTGACAGTCTCACTTTTTATGGCTATAAATAGACAAGAGAAAGAAGAAAGTCCAGGTTTGCTGAGCCCTACAAAGAGAAAGACAAAGCTTCCCTTGTAATAATCCAAATGATTCTACTTTTAGGATGAATGTTGGTGAAGATGATCCAGCCATGAGTTTGTCTCCAGAAAAAAGAAAGATATGTTTATCTGTGACCGGTGGCTTGACTGAGGACTGTATCAAGAAGAACAGACATGAGAGGTAAGATGAATAATGAAAACTTTTATTTGCCCCTAGTGGTGAAGGGTACAAGGCTGCCAGGACATAAGGATTTTATTCCTTGTTACTTTTCCAAGGGAAATATAAATGATCCTTTGCTTGTTCAATTAACAATCTCTCAAAATGAGTGATCTACTGACTAGTTGTGGGTCATGGAGCTCTTCTACACATCATCACAGGCTGGCTCTTACCAGGGAAAGGTAATCTATCCCTCTCCAGGCTGAGTCTATAAAATGTTACAAATCTATAAATAATTCTGTTGAAACTAGGGGTGAAATGGGACTCCACTATCAGTTTCATATAAATATGTACCAAACAATTACAGCCTAGTTTTATACCTGAACAAATATGGAATAAAGTACACAATGCAACACTCTATTGCACAACTTAAAAAAAAATTGAACAAATCTAAACAGAGGAGTATCAGCGAACATCAATAGAGTACATAGCATCGCTCCACGCTCAACTGAGTTACTCACCTTAATGTCAAACTGAACGTAAACATCACCAGTACTGGAGAAAAATCAGTTAAAGCCCAAATCCAGCTTAGTGTAGCTGGATATGGGCTTCACTAAATCCAGCTGAGCATATGACAGAACACAATAGTCCATTACATCTGTAATTACCAGTCCCTCTGATTAGAGGAGATTTCCCTAAAAGCTGCACTTTTATCATGCAAGTTGTATGATGCATTCAAGTACATCTGGTACACTCAATAATCTAAATATCAAAGAGATTTAAACTTATTTATTCAAAACAACAGCACTGACCACTTTGAATTGTTTTTACTGTTGTATAATCCATCCATAGTTATTGGCTTTACCTGCTTATCATTTATTGATAAGAAATGTCTAACCAAATGTCCAGTTTTACAGTAGTCAAACCATGATGTCTGTGTACCTTTAAATTCATTACAGTACCAATGCTCTAAACAAATTAAATTAAAAATTCAAGTTTGTTTTATGTTTTCCTTGCTATGTTTTAGCTTCAAACTCTTAAGGTTTTTGCTTGACAAACGTTTCCCTAACTTGTTTCTCCAGGTCTGACCAGAGAAGATGTCCCTCTCCAGGCTGTGAGTCAGTAAACAGTAAAAAATCCAGGGATTATCCTCTCGAGTTCAAAAAGTAAGTTTATCTATTGAATTTAAACCTACTAAGTTTATGTATAATATACCAATCTAAAAACTCAGAAATTTTGGGCAACTTAGTATAAAAACATGGTAAATTTACATCTATAAAATTCAGATCCATCTAATTTCTATAATTAAATTACATTTATTTCAGCTAAGTTCTATCAAACCCATTTAGTGAATATATATAAATGTATCTCAATTAAATAGTCTAATTTTGCTTTATTTACCCCTTTGTTTCAAGGTCAATTTATTTATTTTTTTCAGACTGAGAAATGTATATATACTAGCTCTCATCTAAGCTTCACATACCTTTGTCTGAGTTTGTTTATTAAATTTTCTTCTCAGCTCTAATCAGGGAAGATGTCCGTCCCCAAGCTGTGAATCCATGAAAAGTGACAAATCCAGGGATTATCCTCTTGAGTTTAAAAAGTAAGTTCATCAACTGAATATTAAGGCAAATAATAAAACATACATAAATCTTCTCTAGGTGCTTCACAAAAAGTTTGGTAAATTATATAGTTCTCCATACAAATAAACAATTTCACCTTTAATTTCTATAATTAAATGTCACTATAATCTAGATTGCAGTCAATCTATATTATAAAAATATCTAAATACAATGATCAAATAATTTTTTTTTAATGATTATTCATTTTACCAAGAGGCACTGAGTTCCAAAATGTTTCTTTTTTCTGTTTTTTTTTTTCCAGGTCTGATCAGGGAAGATGTCCCTCTCCAAGTTGTGAATCTATGAAAAGTGACAAATCTAGAGATTATCCTCTGGAGTTCAAACAGTAAGTTAATCTATTAAATATACCCCAATTTATGAGGCACCATTCACAACATTGAGGCACTTATACAGCAACATTAAAAAGTTCAATGTAAATTTCTATAACCTAAAATACTTTAGTTTATTTTTCTTAGTTTGATGATGGCAATTGACAAAATGTAATGTTAACTGCTTTTTTGATAATTGATGACTGTATGATGTTTTATGATGTAAAACACATTTCACCAACACCTCGCTGAGGAATTGTGCCATGGAAATAAGCTTGACTTGACTATTTAATTTCATTCCAAACAAAAGAAACTTGATCATCTAAATGTTATATTACTTTATTCAACATGTAAAGATTTCTATTGGTATCAGCAACCACAGTTTGAGACCCATATGACTGAGAAGTACAAAAATATATTTTTATGGTATTTCTTTTTTAAATGAATCTGTTTTACAGCAATTTATAATTTGTACAAATAAGACAGTTTCTATGTTAGTTACTAAAACAGTGAGTTTGTGTGCTCCTTTTCCCCCTCAATATTTACAATC